GGTTGGACACACACACACAGAGAGAGAGAGAGAGAGAGAGAGGTTTTGGTCAAACCACTTGAGGGGGTTAAGTGAATGTAAATGAAACTTGCTGGGTTCAGTTGGCCAACTTCCAACAAGGCTTAGATTTTAAAGTAAGAACCACAGCCACATAGTCAAACACTCCAGTGCTATCCAACACATACAAAGTGACCACCTGATGGGTTGTTTTTAGTTGCTTAAAAAAAAAAAAGAAAGAAAAAAAAAATGTTCCTAAATGATAGTAAATGCTCTGCAACACACTTGCGCACAGTTATTTGTCCATCGTCTCCTTTAACAGAACTTTTCAAGACAAGCTGAATGCGCTTATTCCCCCTCCCCCTCCCCCTCTCTTTCTCTCTCGCTCGGTCACACACACACACACACACACACACACTCACTCACACACATACCCGCACACACACACACATACACGCAGGCACTCATACGCGCACACACACATACATACTCACTCACACACATACACAAACCACACACACATAATCTTGTTGTGAGAAAACAAAAATGAAAGTCAACAAAATCAATTCAAAAGAAAAAAAAACATTTTATTATCTGGTGTAAACAGCAAAACTACTGAAAAAATATATGATTTTATTCTAATAATAGTACATTAGGGGAAAACAAGAACCCCATGCAATCATTTGATATGCTTGATATAGTAACAACTTGTCATGATTTTATTATTTTTTTTTTTTAAACTCTTTTAGTTTTAGTAGGAGTTTTAAGGCACTTGCAACACAAAAAGGTCATACAAGTGTCAAAGAATAGAGGTGATACAAGAGGGTAACAAACACAAAAAAGAAGGAGAGGAGATAGAGACGAAATATATTATTTTTTATAAGAAAGAAGGAGCAAACCACACCAGAGCACCCGCCAACCACCCACAAAACAACTCTGAACATGAAAGGAAAAATGTGAGGCAGCGTGGTGGAATAAGGCTCTCGTCAATTTTTGGGCATGTAGAGTTATTGATATCATCTTACAGCTTGTTCAATTGTCTTTATTTTGATGAAAAAAATATCCATTTATCTTGAATACAAGTCGAGATATTTGCAAAAGAAGGAGGTGGAGGTCACATGTTTTCAGAGGTAAAACTGCCGCCAAAGATTAGTTATTTCCTTAGCTTAAGAGTCCGTGGCAACTGAAAATTTACATTTTTGTGCCTTTAATCAACATTTTTCAGAAAAATTTCCACCTAAATGAGTTCTTTAATAGGCATGAAAGGTGTTGAGCCAAAAAACAAAAATTTGATAAAAATCCATAAACTTGCGGAAAAATGCAAGTTTCTTCTCGTTGATTATTTTGACCTGAGCCTGATTCCACCACGCTGCCTCACAAATAATAAAGGCAAAACAGGTTTAGTGCAGGCAAAACAAGAGCCATGAACTGTATGGAGCATGTTGAAGTAGTGCGCAGAAACATGACGTGTGTCCTGGTGTAGCGTGTATTACATGTATGTATAGACTCTAGTGTCCCTGTGGTTTTATGAACAAAAATTTTTTTAAATTCTGAAATTATGCAAACAGAGCCCAAAAATGTGAAATTACTCGATTCTGTTAATTTTAACAAAGAATGATAAAGGATAGTTTTAGTAGAGGTTTTACGGCGCTCGATCGCAACTGCATAAGGTCATACGAGCGCCAGAAGATTAGAGGTGTTACAAGAGAGTAACAAACATAAACGAAAATAATAAGAAACTATGCAAAAAGCGATGAAATTGTGCAAAATTATGTGGGGTGTATAAAACCTGCGGGACAAAATAGTATCCCTCGGTCACTGGAGTAGTGTGTATTCTCTTGAGGTCAGTGCAAGATCAGCCTGTCCGAGGAACATCGACGGTCACTCCTGCCTCATTGACAAACACGCGGACTCTGTCTGGTCGGTAGTCCATGGTCACAGGCGAGTTTTCTGGCACTTTTAGTATCTGAAAATGATAACAAACAAACAAAAGTTGAGATCCAATTTAAAACAAAAAATTGCAGAGTTGTTCATAGAGGCCAGACTGACACAAATTGCGTTTACAGTACATATGTATTTAGCGTCTTCGTGGACACACTGCGGCGTCGATGGTTTAGTGGTTAGGCCCTTGGACTCTCAATGGTAAGGCCATGGGTTCGAATACTGTCAGACTCCCGACGATGTGGTGACAAAATGTTGGAATCCTTTCTAACTATTCTTTTTTATTTTTAGAACATCCAACATACTGTACTGTTTGACAGAGTATTTTTTTTAAATAATTACAAGACGACTTAATTAGAGCAATCATTACAGATAGACAGACACATAGACAGGCTGACAGGCAGACAAGGAGGCAGGCATGCAAACAAACATACACAGACATGTACATAACTGACATACAGATAGCAGACAGGCACGAATGACAGACAGACAGACAGACATGAGTGCGCTCATAACAGACAAAACAGACATGAATGCATGCATAACAGACAGACAGACAGACCGACAGACAGACAGACTGACATAGAGGCAGGCAGGCAGACACTGACATACATACATGTACATGCATGCATACATACAATATCATACATACACCCACACATGCACACATTCACTCATGAAAGCATGCACAAACACACCCACACACTCATAATAAACACTCACACAAACACACACAGACATATATACACACACATACAGTACAGACATGCACACACAGAGACATACACACACACACACACACATATTATTTTATACATTCTATACATGTAATTACATACACACATGCATCATAGTCAAGGGCAAAACAAACAAAACATACAAATTCAAAGAATAAGAAGAACGATCATTCTTGGCAAACCTGTGAAAAGCATTTGTGAGCCATTGAACTACCACTCCACAACTCCTTCATAGTCACCTTATCATCATCATCAATATATCACCAATCAATAAATAAAGTATACTTCTTATGCAGTTGCAAGCCACGTTAAACACTTAACTAAAAAAAAAAAGTATACTTAAAATGTTCAGGCCAAATGTTAAATGTAAGTAAAATATGCAAGTGGATTTCACCTTTGGCCTGAATTCATTTTGAAATACATATATATTTGTAATTCAACAGTCTGTACTGAGCACAAAATTTAAGTGATTGTAGAAGCTTAAATTTGCACCTCCATTGACACAATTTTACGTTATTTAGGGGGCTGGCCCGCTAGGCTGTTTCAACCCTACTTGTCATGATTCTCATGATACCAACCTTGGCCGAAAGGGATACAGTTACAATGTATCCCATCAAGCAAAAGGAGATGGGCCTACTCGATTAAAAACAAACTTCGAGCTCCCCACTTGGGAACTGAACTCTTCTAGGCGACATGAAAAGCGGCCAAACACTACACCACTGATGCTGGAGTGGTGCAAAAATTTTCCGACTTTTTTTTTTACCACAGCGTCAAATATCGCAAATGTCTGTAGGCTTGAAAGTATCATCACAGCAATATTTGCGGAAAAAAAATGATTCAATTGGGCATGTCTCCCATGCTCAAATGAACAACTCATGCAGGTAACAAAATTTTTATTTCAAGTTATTTTCCAAAGCATAACAACAATAAATGCAAAAATGTCCTAGACGGCACTCAGTACCTAGTGTAGATCAGGACTGTTTTCAAGATACAACATGTCATATGTATTATATAATTTATTTATAATATTCAGAAAATAAGTAGCTTAAGCTACCTTTTTACACAGTCAATCTTTCTCTCTCTCTCTCTCTCTCTGTCTGTCTCTCTCTCTCTCTCTCTCTCTCTCTCTCTCTCTCTCTCTCTCTCTCTCTCTCTCTATATATATATATATATATATATATATATATACAGTCAAACCTGTGTAAGACGGCCACCCATTGTCAAGGAGAAAAGTGGCCGTATAAGACAGGAGGCCGTCTTAGGCAGGACTGATCAAGATAAAGAAAACAAACCATTCCCATCTGAGGCCCCAATTGAAAGTAGCCCCATTGTTGTTGTCTCTGTTGGTGTTGTTGGTTTGTATTTCGTTAGTAATTTTTATTTTGTCGCTGATTTTGCACAAGGGTGACAATAAAATGAAATGTATCAGACAAGGAAGACCCAGTGCCATGTTAAAACAAACACATGGTTCGCCACCACTCGGAGAACGACGGACGCTTCTGTAACAAGTTCATGTTGACGTCCTTTGTTCCTTTGTTACAGACTGGGTAAACAGTGACCACTCATCTCACTTACGATTTGTGTATGAGTTCTGGGCGGGGTTTATGGGTCATGAGGAATCACACGCTTACCTCACCAGCAGCTGAAAATTGGTAGCTATTGGTCAACAGTGGGAGGGGCCTACGCAACATGATCGGTTGGAAGGACTACCTAACAAGAACGACAGGTGATTGAATTATGACAGCTCGCCCACAACGCCAGAGGCCAATGCACAATTTATGAAAAAACGTAATGGAGTCACTAAGGTGACCGTCTAAGACAGGTATTATTGCTTAGTATGATAGGTGTTGTGTGTTAAATTATGGTGGCCGCGGCCGCGTTCGACAGGTGCCCGTTTTGCACAGTTAAATTATATAGAAAAAACGCAAGGGGGGAAATGGAAAATGGCCGTTTGTACAGGTGGCCGTCAGGGCAGGTTCGACTGTGTGTATATATATATACTTATATATATATATAGGCCCTATCTATGCGTTACCTGCTTAACAAATGGGTTATCCGTCTTGATCATTTCCTCAGCTTCTTCAAAGGTCTGTGAAAACATAATGAATTATTTTTAATACACTTAGGCTAGTCGTTTGTAAAATAGTATTGACCAACTGGTACAACATGCTCACTAAGGCTACTATATAATGATTCAAATTATATAGACTTATTATACATTACAGTCCACAGTATAAAAATACAGGCCCTGTATGGATCTGAACCCCCCCACCCCATAATGTAAAATATTTCAAATGTAATAAACATGATAGTAATTAGGCAACCTGAGAGACGTGTATTTTAGGAATGACATTCATATAGCACCAATATAATAAGGGTGAGTTAAAAACATTTTTGTAAATTTGTTAGATGTAATTCCCATCCAATCTGAGCAAAGTTCAATCAACAATATGAGTTCGGAGCAAATTATATAAAAACATTATATATTCCTCTACATAGGTACAGGTACTTTTATGTTTACTTTATTTAGCTTTCACACACACACACACACACACACACACACACACACACACATACAACTGGACCCCCGGCCTCCCCCCAAAAAAAACAACCAACCAACCAAACCCCACAAAACCCCCCCCAAATCCCTACGAAATGATGAGAAATACAAAATGTAGGCCTTAATTATGTATAAAAATAAATAAGCCTACATATTACAATATTATGACATCAATATCATGTATAGGGGCATGTAAAACAACACAATTACAAAAAAAAGCATTGATTGATCTAAGAAAGAAAAAAAAATGTCATCTGCTATACTAAAACCAATTAAACCTGCACAACGACAACGTCCCTTGCCTGTATTTAGTGGAAATTTACATAAAGCAATACTGTACAGCACGGCTGCTTCACAAAATAGCGTTGATGAATGGACAGTTCAGAGGCTTACTTTTCCCACTGCTTCTGGCCAGCTTGTTTTCGGCTGCTGTTGTTGCTGATCTTGATCTGACATTTTTTGACTGGTTGAAGTTGAAGACACACTCAACAAACTCCTCAAACAGGAAGAAAGGCAGTTTAATTTCAGCAGATATACTACGTCTCAAGCTCCAAGACGTCTAGCCGACACAAGAAACAGAGCGCAACTGATCGGCGTTATTTTTACAGTGAGTGTGCTTTGGTACTGGTAGCCAATCCCGCCGTGTGTGAAACGGGGGACAGGCTGAACGGACACGCCCATTTTCCCTAGGCATTGGGTCAAATAGGCCTCATGAGTTCATTTTTTGTATTTTTTGTCCCTGGAAACAACAGTTTCCCAGTCTTTTCTTAATCAACATGATAGAAAGCAGCCAAAAGTAGTAGACTTTTGTTGGTAATATTTTTAGGAAGTGATTTCTGTTTGTACTCATTAAATAAAAAAGTAAAAGCGTCGATATTTACTTAGCATCAATGCCCGATTGATTGTTTTTACTTTTTGTTGCTTTCGTTTAGTCTACATGGTTTGTGTTTTGCATGGTTGTATCACGTGATTACTGATCAGAATGGAAGGGGGATAACTTGAACGAATGCGTGTCATCATGTATGTTGTCATGGCTCAGATTTAGCCGACTGGTAAGTGTCTGATATCAATCAATCATATTGTCTCACTTGTTTTTTGCTTCTTCTAACAAGACCCAAATTACAAACCCCGATACATAGATCTAGTATTGCAACTGGCTAGATCTACCTTACATATGGATATACAATTTAGTCGTGTGTCTGACTAATGTTGACTTCTTGTGAGTCGTTTTTTTTAGTGGCTCCCTTCTTACTCTAAGATATTTTAGTGTAAAAAAGTAGAACTTAAGTTGTAGATCTAGATCTAGATCTAGAATCTAGATCTAGATCTAGATCTAGGCCATTCTAGATCTAGTCTTGTAGGATTGATTCAGAGATTGTTGACATGGATACGGTCGAACCTGTGTGAGACAAAATTGCAAAAGGGGACCAGAAAAAGAATTCAATCTTAGACCACCGGGCGGGAGATTTAGGTGGGATGGACTGAGTTGAATTTCAGAGGCCCAGCCGGTGGGATCAAGGCCAAGGGTCGCTTGTCAGGTCGGCAAGCAGAGTGGTCAAAACTTCACACTCTCTCAAGAAGTGATCCTCAATAATTGCATGTTGTCAGTCTTTTTTATCCATTGACCACTGACCAGTGTTTGCATTTCATATTTAAACCACTGTTTAACCTATCCTATTTAACCTCCTGCGTCTGTGCTGAGATGCGAATCTTGTGTTACCTATTACGTTGGACATTCTGGGTGGGCCGCCGGGGTCACTCAGCGTGTACTGCTGGTTTACAGCGTGCGGGCCTGGAAACATTTGTTTTTGCCATGAATACCGTGCCGTAAGGGTGTGTAAAAATCAACATAAATGAAAATCGCTCTATCTTTTTTATAGGCCTAAATAGCTTTGAACTATTTATAAAGTGTTACGAACACACATGAGAATTTACCCCTTCTCTTTAAGCTGATAAAAGACATTGTAGAGTAGTTACGCCCATTCGAATAAAACCTTTTTAGAGGCTCTTGTTGTTATGAAAATGATCTGGGGTTCGAAAGGGGAATAGATCAATTTCCGATTGTTTTGCTCACACCTTATTCAAAACTATCAAACAAGCTTATTTTTTAATCAGGTAGTATTATTTCATACAAAATCAAGCTCATTTGAAAGATTTTGTACAAAAAAATGGAAGTCTTGTTTCCTGACTATCCTTTTGAGCTCCTCATGTCTAAGTGGGTCAATTTGTTCTAATTTCATTCCGACGAACATCTAGGGAGCCTACCAACTTGGCATGTTTTGAATGAGACGCATGCCTCGGTTACGAACCAACGCAGGCGGTTCTAAAAGTAGGCCACAAACACACACAAACTCAAGCAGACTGACGCACACACTTGGGCTGCATGAATGCAGGACCCGAACGAAACGGGAATGATGCTCAGCGCACGTGCGCTGAGGTGCGCTGAGCCAGGGGCCGGACTGACATGGGAACAGAATGAAGGCGAGATGCCGAAATAGGCTTATCGGGTGACATAACCGGCCCCCGCAGGACCAGGGTTGAAAAAGAAGTGATTGAACACATCTCCTTTACTTTCATTTTCACCCCCCATTGCCCCACCCATTGGCATTATAATCTTGCAGTCAACCAATCTTTCCAACCAATGCCGATGCCACCCCCTCCCATGCCCATGGTAATGATTTGAGGAACTCTTTTCGTGGCTGGCCGTGCAATGATCAGGGTGGCTGGCATTGGTCAAACTAATTTGACACCTCTGGCTTCTGTCTCCATGTAAATATGAAAGTTTCATGCTGGAGTGCCACTTGAGCTCTTTCACAAACCCTGTCACTGACCAGTGAAGATTTCATACCCACACCACACTGACCATCTGCTCCGCTTAAGGTCTCACACGGATAGGGTTACATCATGTCTAAACCCAAATTGCACCACTGCTGCCTTTCCTAGCCTGGCCTCATGGTGTAAAGCTTTGAGCCGATGGAACCAAGCTTAATAGTTTTGTTTCAAGTCAGGGCTGAGTGGGCAAGGCATTTTTCGCCTTAGGCTAGTGACACGGACAGGGACATTCAGTTGCTGTCACAGCAACACATCAAAAAGCGTGCACGCCAAAATCGCTCATGATTTCTTTTAAAACACACCAACCCGGCTATGTTGAACACGGACAGGCACAGACAGCAACAGCCAGCGACAGTCAGGAAAATTCGAAAAGTGCGTGCACTACTTCTCCTGTCTGTCTGTTTCAAGGGAGTTAAATAAAGATACGATCACAATGATTGTTCTTGTCAAGGTGGAGGATTTTGAAGAGAAACTGATCATTGCGGTGCAAGAAAGGCCAGCAATTTATGGGAATGAAAATGGGTGTCTGGAAATTTGTTGCCATCTTTGTCAAATCTTCCTCACACAGGTCTAGAAGATTTCTGAATGTTGAAGGCTGCATTCGAAAATATTCAATTAATTTTTCCTCATCTTTCAGAAGCTGTGGGAGGAGACGGTGATATTCACCTTAATAGGATGAACTGCATATCTTCGATGAGAAATTCGTGAACGTCTTTATTTCCTTCGTAACCACAATAATAATAAGTGTCCTCTTCTTTGTCAGCGCCATGATAGACAATGTTTCTGTCTCTGGCTGCCTGTTTGAATGTGACCACATTTCCCTGTGCCTGTCCGTCCCTGTGCGACAGCAAGTAGCTGTCCCTTTCTGTCCATATCACCGTGTTCGTACCCTTTGACAGGTTAAAAACCTTCCAAAGGGAAGGAATTTCTTTTTCTGTTTCCGCATTAGACAGGTTTTCGTTTTATAGATCTAGAGGTGATTATGAATTATAGAAGAAGTAGAATTTATCAAGGGGGAGTGGGGGGATTCTGTTATAAATTATATTATAATTACTGGTTTTTGTAGGCAGCTTCACCAGAAAATGAAAAAAAACTGTCGCATCTGTGTTTCTTCTGAATGGAATTCTCACAGTTCGAAATTTTAATCAAAGTCCAAATTAAGGGAAAATGAAACATGGATATCTTGTGTTATATAGTTTCACTATATGCTTGCTTTGGGTTTTATAAAAATACACACTTTTTTTTCCCATGAATTTCGATAGCTCAACTAATTTAATTATTTTGAAATATTTGATGTTTTTTGTTTAATGTATTTCACAAAGCTTATATTATTTGTATAGTAATATTTCACATTTTACTTTTAAAAAATAAATGGTGGGGGGCATGCCCCCTGATGTAAAAAAAATATGGAGATATCGGGGGGAGGGGCAAGGACCTGTATTTCCCCAATGTTTGAAATTTTCTATTAAGTTTTACTTTCACTCCCGCTCTCTCAGATGCACTGCTTATGTGTGTGTCAAAGGCTTTTATTTTTTTAATCTTTTTTTTTTGGCTGCAGATCACACTATGTCCGAGAATACAAAAAATTAATTATTTTCAAGAAAATCTTAAACCTTAAAATTATGGGGAAGAGTAAGGGGGGGGGGGGGGGGCAGGGCAGGTTTAGGGTGATATGGTTTGAATAAAAACCATCAAGTCAAGTATTTTACACTTTCCATGAGATCAGATTCAGTGTAGTTTATTGATCACTGCTTCATTTACTTTTTGATCACTTCTGATAACACTCCAGACTCCCATTGTATTATTTCTATCCAGGAAGTAACAAAGTTTAGGAATGTCATTAATTGGTTGCAGTTCTGTAACATTGCTAATTCAATCCAGGTTCTCTCTTCCTACATTGCTGATGAAAATATATTGAAATTTCTTTTCTTTTGTATTATTATATTCTTCTTTATGCTCAATAAATTATTAAGATCAGATACCAATGAATTATTGATTTTTGTCTGCCAAGAAACCTTGAGTTTGAGTCCCGAGTCAAACGATTCATAAATAAAAAATACAATATCCATGCAATCCTCTTCTGATTATTCATTACCTCACTCACTTTGTTCATCTTGCCATAAAATCAGCATAATGCTATTCAGTTAATTCATAAGTCATTTTATACCGTAATATAGTTCTTCTTTGAGCATACAGTGTGTGCTCCTCAGCTGCTCAAAGCCTCAAGATGAGATATATTATGCACTCAACAGATGTGTGTCAGCTTTGTTGGGGGGAGAAACGTAATCTGTGTAGAGCACAATGGAATATTGATTACAATTAGGATAATGTGTGGCTTTGCTTCTCAAGCTATGATTTTGTGTGAGGAGATACAATCTTTGCCTCACTGAGATCTTGCCCTTGCACAAGTATCTCCACTTTAAAGAAAATTTACGTTTTGTTGTTATTGTTAAAAATGGTGCTGGTGAACTGAGTGATGTATGGCATGAATATGTTACAATGTGTAATGAGGCGCACTGTAATTTGGAAAGATGATATTGAAATGACTTTGACAATTCCTTAAGTGGTCAGCAAGGAAGGAAATGTCAGGGGGATTGTTTTGATTATTGATCAGGGGAACATCACAATCATCAATTAACCTTATAGTGTTTTTGGTTATTATCTTTGTGGTTTTTGTCATAGAAAGATAAGATTATTATTCTTGTCTCTATCTTCTGTTGTGCGGGAAGGGTTCAATATTGACTATTGACTTCCTCATCATATATAATTTTATTTCCATTTAATCTCTTCATACAAATGGTCATGGATTTATTAATTTGTCTGAAATTTCAAATTCTTTATCTTTCAGGTGTTACTACATCAGCTGGTAACGGAAGTGGCGAAAACGACACCGAGTTCTGGATATATTATACCCATTTGATCTTCTTTCTCCACACCAACAGCTGACAAGGACTCTCCTCTTCTTCAAGTAGTCAACACCAACTACTTTTATTTCTGACTTTTCAATTGCCTGAGGAGCAATCTGACTTTCAAAATGTGGCAATCTAGGTTTACGACAAAGATGAAAATTGCATCCATTCTGTTTTGTTTACTCATGATCACAAAATGGACGGTCCCGGTGAGTGCTTTGTCAGAAGACGACTCGATCAGCGTTCGAAAGCCGGCGTCGCGTCAGGTGCTTTCTCTGCCCGATGACAAGGATGCAGAGAACAAAGATGACAAATCAAAGTTGGACGTGATTGATGTTGAATCAAAAGACAAGGTAAGAAAGTTTTGTTATTGTACTAATTAATTAAAAATTTCGCTTCAGTGTTTTTGCTTTGCGGACATTTTAGAAAATCCTAATCACGATTTAAATGCCCTTGAAGGATGGAATATGTAGGTAGAGTAAAAATGACTCTATAAAGCCAGACATCATCGACTTTTAATGAACTAATGTATTAAAACTTGTTAGTTTTCTGTTTTGGGAAATGCCTTTTTGTTTATTTTAAAGTGTCATTTTGCAAATAATGTTTGACTTAACGGTTGACTTTTAAGTTATTACTGCAAAAGACGATTGAAAAAATGTTCTTTCTCCCGTTGTGTCATTGGTTCTGTTATAATCAGCTAGTCATGTTTCTGGAATCATCGCTCAATTACAAATTACAGTGACATGTGTGAGATACTGTCTGGAAAGGCTGCCACTCTGTCTTTAGTTTAACTCCTGAACTCTTTATCTCCGACGATCCGTGCCCAGCCTCTTGCGGTTGGAACTACTGTGCTAGTGGTCCACTGTTACTGTTAGCAGCCCGGTCACTTTCCTTCATGACGATGACAGTCAGCCAAAATAGGTCTTTCCTACGGGGAGTTCTTTCATTAGATGAACTATCAAAACAGGTTAATCTGTTTTGATTTAATAACCAATTTAGTGACATCTATGTCACTCTCAGGTTTCATACCAAAAGAGGGCTTCAGCTTAATGGGGAAAAAACCCTCTCCAGAGGTAAAGAGATAAAAATGTCATGGATTTTTGTGTCTTTCTCTCCCACTCAACAATTTATGACCACCATGGTATGTATCTGTATCATCCTACCATTCACCTCTGTGTGAGATCCCATGTTTTTCCCTTGCGCCTGTGATGTTGTTTTGGTTTGTTCCTTTCCAATGGTTGCTGACAGGGCGGAAGTTCTGATTAGCTCCCTTACTGAACATGCTGTAGATATGGGATTTGCACTAAGCAAATGTGAGGCCCGCTGACAAAATGAGTTTCTTCTATCATTCCATGAATGGAGATATCAGCCAAAAATTGACATAGGGGTCAAATTTGTACATTTTTAACAGATGCCAATTTCTTCAAGTTTTTAACACTTTGCACCCACGCAGCCTGCAGAGCGCACAACACTTGTCCCCACGGAACATGATTCATATGCAGTACATCAGTGCTACACCTGTATCTCAGCAAAAATATCCCAACCAACCATTATTACAATTTCAGCGTACTGAGAAAATAAAAGTGATGATCGCATGTTCACCAAAAAAGGAATTAAAATCAGAACTGAAAACATTAGATCAAGCTCATTCATCGCCCAAATTCTCATCATGGCGAAGAGTAAAGCTTCTTATTGTCACTGATTGGCATCCCGTAGGGGCAAAGTGCTTGTTATTTCATACTAATAATTCAAACAAACTATATTTTGCCATTTCCATTGGTCCAAAATTCAAGAAGTATCTCATTTGTCAGCATGCCTCACAAATGCTATATATTTATCATCATTAATGAATGAGTTCTTATGTCTTCAATACAGGAGGGAGATGCGGTGGGCGATCTGGGCGGGGGTCTCATGTCTGTGCTGAAGGTGGACAAAGATGGCACGGGGTTCACGCACGCCTTCATCGCCTCGCTCAGCGTCATCATCGTGTCGGAGCTCGGGGACAAGACGTTCTTCATCGCCGCCATCATGGCCATGACCCACTCGCGGCTCACCGTCCTCCTGGGGGCTCTGAGTGCCCTGGGTATCATGACCATCTTGTCGGGTCAGTCGTGTCTTTGTTGTGCTCTTCCTCGTTTCCTCTCTCTCTCTTTGTGTGAGATCAACAGTGTCTTTTTTTTCTTTCTCTTTTCCTCTCACTTTGAGATCTACAGTGCCTTTCTTCTCTTACTCTTTTTCTTTCTGTCTTCTCTTTCTCTTTTCCTTTCTTTCTTCTCTTTCTCTTTTTCTTTCTGCTCTTCCTCGTCTCCTCTCTCTCTTTGTGAGAGATCAACAGTGTCTTTTTTTTTTCTCTTTGTCTTTTCCTCTCTCTTTGTCTGAGATCAACAGTGCCTTTCTCCTCTTTCTCTTTTTCTTTCTCCTCTATCTCTTTTCCTTTCTTTCTTCTCTTTCTCTTTTCCTTTCTTCCTTCTCTTTCTCTTTTCCTTTCTTTCTTCTCTTTTTCTTTTCCTTTCTTTCTTCTCTTTATCTGTCTTTCTTCTCTTCCTCTTTTCCTCTCACTTTGTCTGAGATCAACAGTACCTTTATAATAATTCTCTTTCTCTTTTCCTCTCACTTTGTGCGACATGGACAGTGTCTTTCTTCTCTTTCTCTTTTCCTCTCACTTTGTGTGTGATTGACGTTGTCTTTCTTCTCTCAGTCTTTTTCTCTCAACTTGTGTGATATGGACAGTGTCTTGTTTTGATGGCTACCTATGTAGCCACTGAGATTTTCCTTTAACAAATCGTAACGACTGCTCAGTTTAAGACTGTCGTACACCTCTCCTTTTAAAATGAGATATTTGAAGAGCAAAGTGTTAAGTCTGCTAATTCATTTCTTTTTTTTTTAAAGTGTAATTATAACTGTACATATTTTACAGCCCCCTCAACATCATTTAGGTTATTTTATGGTCTTTTCTCTGTTTTGTTCACAGCTCTTGTTGGATATGCCACCACTGTGATTCCCAGGGCTCTGACTTTCTATGTGTCCTCTGCCCTGTTTGCTATCTTTGGATTGAAAATGTTGAGAGAAGGTAAGACTATTCGCTAACCTAGAATTACATAGCTCTATCTGCTCAGTACCTAGTTTTGAGAAGTTTGACGTAAAAAATTGGGAACTTCACAGCGTGTTAGGCTTATACGAATGCAATTCTCTGAAGACCTTGACAATGACTCTGAATAATCTTACAATTTTGGTAGAGCAGATAGAACATATGGTTTATGACCTCATGGTCTTAGTTACTCAAAACGGCCAAAAATGTGAGGTACAGCTTTGTTATTCAAAGGTAGTGAACTGTTGACAGATCTATCACTTTTTTGTGTGGTGGAGTGGCTGGTTAAGGTTTGGACTCTATCTGAGAGTTTGTTTGCAATAAAGAGCTCGGTTAGAGAATGTTTTGCATAAGGTGCTTAACAGGTTTAAAACAACTTTGTTCAGTCGAAATTGTCTTAGACAGCCACACTCATTGTTGAGGAGAAAAGGGGCCATCTAAGACTGGTGGAGGAAGTATTTAGGAGAAAAAGACAGAGCCCAGTCAGAGATGAGGTGGAATGAAGGGGGCGGGCTGATGGTTTGGAGATTCTTTCAGGAAGTCAAGCAGCTGTATAATAAAGAAAGTGTTGGATTAGAACGCACAGGGTAAAATATCAAGGGGAAGACCACGCGGAACCGGGAGATGAGCCACAGAAATTGATGAACTGAAAAGTGGGAAGACATGAAATAACATCAAGCGGCTAGCCCAGGACGGAAAATTTAGAAAGTGTTTTGTTCGTGGCCTATATCCTGATCCAGGGTGAGAAACGCAATGACGATGAAGACAGGTGAATGTCTCGCTCCGTATCATTATAATGTTTAAAAAAAAACGCCAAGGGGGAAATGGGATGTGGTCGATTGTACAGGTGATTGTCTTATACAGGTGGCCCTTAGAACAGGTTCCACTTTTGTTATTGAGTTTGGTCTAATGATTCTTAAGATGTAGGTGGCTGTACGGCTTGGTGGGCTCTTTTCAAGGCACAGGAGATTTTGATATATTTTCAATTTTTGTGGCGTTGATGGCCTAGTTGTTAAGCTCTTGGGCTTGCAATGGTAAAACAAGTGGGTTCGAATCCTGTTAGGGGTGGGACATTGTGTCTTTGGGAAAAGCACTTTTCGCCAATTTTCTTATCTTCGCTTGGCTACAGACAGCGAAAGATCTAATTAGTTTGTTAGTGTTTGAGCTCTTAATCAGCTACTTGCACTTTGCGCATCTCTGGAAACTGAGAATGTTTCTGTGTGTTTTGCAATCTGCAGGGGTAACAGTATTGTCTAAAGCACATGGATTTTACTACCGAACTATGTGTTACAACGCAGTGGAATCAGGTGCTTGTCAATTTTTGGGCATAGGGAGTTCTTGGTATCATCTGAAAGCTTATTCATTTGTCTTGCTTTCAATTTAGAAAATAACCATCTGTCTTGAATAGAAGCCGAAATATTTCCTATTTAAGAAGGTAGGGGTGATCTCATTTCGGAGGTAAATTTATCGAGAAAATGGCCGCCAAAGTTTGGTAATTTCCATAGCTTGAGAGTGCTTGAGAAATGAAAATTCACAATTTTTTTGTGTTCTCAATCAATGGTTTTCAATATAGTCCAGACACAAATTTATTTTTAAATAGGCATAAAAGGCATTGAGCCAAAAAACAAAAATTCGATTAAAAATTGCCTAACTGGCAGAAAAATGACGTTTTCGACGATTTCATTATTTTGACGGACACCTGATTTCACCGCAATGCCTCACATATGTGCTATGCAAATGCTATTTATTATTATTATTATTATTATTATTAGGGGCTGTTCAAATATAATCTTACACCTGGAAGGTGAGGTAAAAAAAAAATCACGAGGAAAAAAGGATGGCCTTGGTCAAAAAAGGCTTCATAGGCCAAAGAGTGTGCAGTGGCCACGAGGGATGTGGAAAATATTTTCCAAGTATTGCAGCATTGAAGAAGCACAGGGCTTTACATGTGACGGAGGAAGAAATGGAGGTGGAGGAAAAAATGGAGGTGGAGGAAGAAGAGAAAGAAGAGGAGAGAGAGCAGGAACAGGACCCAGATTTGGAAGACAGGTCAGCAGATGCCCCTGTTTTTGTAAAAAAAAATTAACATAATGATGAACGCTGCCTTTGTTGATGATCACTAATTTCACTTTTTGTTTCAAGCATAATGATTAGTAATAACAAATACAGTGGAATCCTGATAAGGTCAAAATCTTGCTTACAGTCAAAACCTCATTGTGGTCCCGTTCCTTACCTTCTTTGTTCAAGTAATTGTATTTCTGATACAGTCAACTGCTTCAGTGTTACACTTGCGTAAAGTCAACAATTTGTGGCTAAATCCCGAGATGAATTAGAAGAGATATCTAGGGCCTGGGCTAGTGGTGTACACACCTCCAATTACTTTGTTCATTCATTATCTCTTGTTTTGGTGACAACTTCAGAATTATGCTCACTGAAATTGAGCTAACACCTTGTTACCAGTTCCAGGTTTTTTATAATTTTGTAGCTGCCATCTTCAATTTTCAATGGCCAGTAGATCTAGTACAATGGAATAAGTCAACCTTGCTCAAAGTCAACAATTTTTATTTGGTCCCGAAGTGTTGACTTTATTTATCAGAATTCCACTGTAATTTTTCATTTTTTATTTGTAAATGTAAGGCGCTATTGAAACTGACATGAGACCCAATTTTTCCTCATTAGTAAGAAAGAGTATATGCAATATTTTGCTTGAATGATTTACTCAGTTATTTTTTAGTGAATGTAGAACTGCATATATTATTATGTGCATATGTGTGTGTATGCATGTTTTTCATGAATGCTATGTAAAGCGCATAGATAACTGATTGTAACACGGATTTGCGCGATATAAATGTCATTATTATTATAAGGGAACATTACAATGGAATATTACAGAAGGGGGAGGCATATGTAAGAAAAGT